ATAGCAAAGGAGGCTTCTGCTCACATTGATTAACGAATAAACAATTTGATGAATGCAAAACACCCATTGAGACAAAAGCGGTATTACCGTTTCCCAACCGAGTGTTGAAGGACTGTGGTATAACTGACATGACAGCAAGAAGTGTTGCCCATTTTCAATTTCACAAACTGAACATTTTCTATCAGAGATTAGTACATTATTGTACCTTCCCATTTCAATTTGTAAGCGATTGGGCACTTACTGTAAAATGACTAATTTTCATTGGGTTTAAATTTCGCTGATTTACCATTTCAAGCATATTCAGTGAGTTTTAAATTTACTGTTTTATTTTGTTTTAATTATTCATAAGCTCTGTATATTACACACCTGTTTGTTCGTTTTTGACTTAAAGAAGAAGCAATATGCCCATAGTATTGACAAATATCTAGACACACTACCCCATAATTACCCTACAAGATATGCTGCAGGCGACAACTATTATACTCCCAAGGTCAATCTCGCATTAAATCAACATACTCTCAAATATGCTTTCACTGGAACTCACTTCCCAATCGCATAAAAAGTGTACAAAATAGACAGTCTTTCAAATGTCACTTAAAAAGGTATCTTCTAGAAGATATGTAAATTTTACTTTCCTATCAGTATTATTTGTATTTGTATGTTACGTTGTTTTATTTTATCAGAGCGTGTGAGTGTTTCTGCATTGCTTTATTACCAAACGCTTCAGCGTGGTATTAAGAGTTTGTTTTCAGGGGTGGGTGATACCAAGGTGGGAAATGGATGCACATATATATATATATGGGGTTAATTCCTTGAATTGCAATATAGAGGGTTCAGGTTGAAATACAATAAATAGTGTTTTCATGTTTCGTCTGATATTTCTGTGGTATTCTGCTGCTGTAAGTAATGCACGATTTGTTCCGAAATTCAGTATGCTGTGTGCATTTCAGGGTTATTCGTTTTTTGCTGAAAACACCCCTATTTTTTAATGGCAGAGTCGAATAGTTTCACTCCCACTGGGAAA